TTTTTTTCTTTTCATATTGTCAAGAGATTGTTCAAAAGTTTTGAAAAACACACAAACTTGGAACTTAATATAAACAGGCACATGGTCTTGTAAAAATTATGGTGTATGTTAGGTTATATTTTATTCTCTTACATTAAGAATTGTGTTCCTTATGCCTGCTCTGGCTCTGGTGGATTCACTCACACCTCCACGCTTCTGACTGTACCCAGTGCTTGTAAAAAAAAAGAATTGTGTTCTCCATGTTTTGTTTTGTAATGACTCGGCCCATAGTGTACTTTAGATTGTTTCAACCTAACTTGAAATTGAGTCCTAAAGAGTAGTTCATTCATATTTTGCTTTCTTTCTTTTTCTTGCAGATTGCTTACTATTTTTACGCCAATACATCTGGTATAGGTGAGTTGTCAAGTCTCAAAGACAGTGTGAACTTCCAGTACAAACAATATTACCTGCTTATGACTTAAATTGCTCTAATTGAACCCACCTCGATTGAGAGATAGCTAGATGCTGAAATCAGGTGAGCCCCATTTGTTCACTAGACATCTCACAAGTGGCAGACCCTGGAGAGAGTTCTCAGTAGCTGCAGGGTGATTTCTGCTTCCCTAGTCAGTGTTTAGAGAATCTCACACAGCGTCTGTTGTCTCTGATGAATGTGCTCAACGCTCAGCCTTATCTGAAAGCCCACATGCTAGCTCTCTACCTTGATATTTTTGTTCTTATATGTCAACTGTGGCGGCCATATTTCAGGGGCTGTGCATGAGAGCAGCTTATTTAGCCTTCATGTATTGTTCTTTTTAATTCTTTGACTGTTGAGTATGTTTTTGGACATGGTGCTAATTTAAAGTCGCAAAGAAATGATTATTCCGACAAGGGATGTAACTCTGCTTTTAGGTACGTAGGTAGGAATTGTTTTATAGAATTTTACCAGATTGCCTTTTCCTTGAGAACATCTGATCTTAAAATCTCCAGAGATAAGCAGTTCTATAAAAGAGACCTTTGGCTCGCCTCAAGTATGAGTGAAAGATTTTCCTGCCTTTATTCCTGGTGTGTGTAATCTATGTGCACGTGTGCACATATGTAGATATTTTTTATTTCGCTTTTATTTTATTTTTATTTCACTTTGTCTTCCTTTATTGGGATGTGGGGGTAATGTAGAGAGATTGGGGAGGTAGCAAGTTGGTTAGAAGGAAAGATAAGCTCGTTTTCTGAGCTTGCCGGGCTGTTGCTTGCTAGTCCTGAACACCCCCACACAGGAGGTCAGAGGGGGGGTCTGTTTAGCTTGCTCTGGGACAGTAAATCCTTTTATTACTGTCGAGAAGGCGGACTTGACCAGTGCGCTGTGTGAGAGCCCTGGAAGGTCAGACATGAGTAGGTGTCTTCTCTGAGAAGTCCCTTTCCTTGAAGTGGCCCAGTGCCCGGTGCACAGATTGTGAGCCCGCTGATTATCTAATCAGCTACGTCAGTGTGTGCTTTCTAAAAGATTGAGTTCAGTTTTTGCCCCTGAGTTTATAATAATTAAACCTGAAGGTTTTGGGGCCAGTATTTCAAGTGGTTTCTTCTTTTTTAAAGTTTCATCTTGTAATTGTGAAATATAAATGGATTGAGAATCTTAGCTAGTAATAAACCTGTATGTGACATAGCTACATCTGAATTAAAACACTTGTTGCTCTGTTTTGCCATATTTGCTTCAGATAGCCCTCTCTTCTGTAAAATGTTTTATAAGTTGCTCCCCTTTACCCGCCCGCCCATAACTCTCCCTCCCAATCCTTGTGTTCTCCTTTTCCCTCTGGAGAAATGATTGCACTCATTTAATGCTATCATTAATGTGCCTGTTTCTTATCTTTATTAGAACATTTCTATAATCGTTCCCTGGTATTTTTTAAAAAAAGAGCATAATTACACTGAATGTATATTATTAACGTTTTTATGTTTTTGTGTTTTCTAATTTCTGTTTTGTGTTTTCTAATTCCCATAAAATTTTCTTTTCCTTGATCTGTCATCTTACTGTTTTTGTTTACTTTTTTCCATCTATTTTTTTGATTTCTTCATGTGCTGCTCCTCTAGTTTGTTTTGTCTGCTGATTCACTTACGGTGGAACATTTCCTCATCTTATATCGTGAGTTTGTGCTTGGGGAGTCTTGCTTCACACTACTAAAGGGCACTTGCAGCCTTATGTAGGCTTATGTTCTTGCTTTCTCACAGGAGACCTTATTCACATCCCTTGTAGGCCAGAATTCTGGGCAGACTTGGGATTCCTCAAAATTTCTCTGGGCTGCTGTGAGGTTTATCTAGTTCTCTAGTCATTGATGGTGCAGTTATTTGAAGTTCCTGGCTCTACAGTAGTCTCATTTCTATCTTTTCTGTGGCCCTTCTGCCCCTTCTGTGGCTTGTAGGCTTATTTCCTGTGTGCTAAGTAGCTCCGTTTTGTTTCCTGTCCCTGTATCCAGTGCCAGATTTTCATATCCCTTTTCATTTCTAGTACTTGGAGAGTTTCTCTCTTGTGAGTTTAGCTGTACACTAGAAGCATAGCAAGAAGGTTCCAGGTAAGATCCCTTTGCTGTGTTACTGGCACCCTAGATATCTTTTTCTCAGAAGGATATAATATTTATGCAGTTGAATACATCACCCATCATGGTTTTCGGAAGAAAGGAAATGTATGTGATCAAATTTCAGATATCTAATTAGTAACTTTTGGTTTGAGATTTACCAAAATTCAAATTTGATATTTTAGTGGGAAAAATGTACCAAACTGTCTCTGCAGAGCTGTATGCTGTTTTAAGTATTTGCCTGCATATGTGTTTTCATGATTTGGTTTTAAGCTACCTAATGTGTTGCGGTTTCAGCCCTGCACCTTTTTTGCTCCCTGATGGACTGGTTCGCTTGGTTAATAAACAGATAAACTGGCATTTGGTACTTGCAAGGTAAGGATGTGTAAATTTTCTTACTATGCTTTTCTCCTTGGATTAGCATTTAAATTTCATTAAGGATGTTAATTTTGAGATCCTTATCGTTTGCTGTTTCGATTTTTATTGTATATAAGTTCTTTTTGTCACATATGATTAATATTGTTTGGATGTGTTAACTCAGGTTATATCAAATCATTTTGTATGCTTTTGTGTCCATATACTCATCTAATTGTAAGGTTCAAGAGGTGGATAATTAAAGCCTGTGAAAAACTAAAAATGATTTTAACTCCTTAAAATAATTCCACTTTTGTTGAAGACTGCTAGAAATATTCATACAGATTTTTAAAATATTTTTCTTCCCCATGAAAGCAATGGAAAACTTCTGGCTGCGGTTCAAGATCAGTGTGTGGAGATCAGGTAATTGTTACTATTATTCATTTTCAAAATTTCCCTTGAGAAAACCTTTATGTGATGAATGAGAACTAGGATTTTTAAAAGGAGTTATATTTAAAGGGATTTATTATTAACTCACAAATTTTGTGAGGTGTCAACAGATTCCTTATGTCGATTAGAGTATAAAAGATATATTCTGAGAGTAACACACTCATCCTCCTACTTCCCCAGATCATTCCTTTGCCTTGTTAGAAAAATTACTTTCTTGGTAGATGAAGCACATCTTCCAGACTGAAAAATTGCTCTTGGTTAGCCAGTTTCTGCTAAATCAGCTAAGCAGATACTCAGGAAAGTGTAAACACATCCCGGGGGCTGCTTTGCTCTTGGCATAAGCTGTGGATGGAATCGGGTCTGCAGAAGACCAGGGTCACTTCTCACTCTGTTCTTCAGGACAGGAATTTTTTTTTTTTTTAAAACAGATGTTATTTTTATTTATTTATTTTTAAATATTTATTTATTTATTTATACAAGAACCAGGGTACAGGACAGATGTGTGGGAGGATGAGAGGATTCACCAGAGACAGAGCTGGGAACAGAACAGGCAGACTGACCGAAATACACTGCTGAGGGGAGCAGCGTGCACGACAGGAGAGGTCTGCCATGCCATGTGGGACCCTCACCTGGCCAGCTGGGATTGAACTAGCACTGCAGAGGCTGTAGACAGCTTCAAAGCGCTGTGCTCAACGCCTGCGCCACCAGGGGACGCCCTTCAGGACAGGAATTTTGCATGCACATCTGGAAGACTTCTCTAAGCTGGGCTTTTCATATAAACGATATAATGATAGCAACTAACTCAGGAAAAACTTTTTTATTCTTTGTTCTTTTATAACTGAAGTAACTGTTGGTTCATAGGGTTATGTAGGCTTTGGGTATCAATCTTGTAAATCAATATCTGTATGTACTACATTCTTCTTGCCACTAGAAATAACTTTCCATTCTCCACCATATAGTTGACTTCTTTACCTGGTTTGCCACCCCACTTCCCCTTCCCTTCTGGTAACAATTATTTTGTCACAGTCTAAAATTTTTTGAATTTTTTTATCATTTGTTTTCTTTTTTTTTTTTTAGAGGAGGTGTATTTAAAGGGATTTTATGAATTATTTTCTCCCTTTTTTTACTATACGTGAGTGAAATCATAGGCTGTTTGTCTTGTTCCATCAACTTATTTCACTAAGCATAGTACCCTCTAGTTCCATCTACGTTGTTGCAAATGGCAGGATTTCATCTTTGGAGTCTCATAGAATTCCATGGCATATCTGTACATCTTTTATCCACTCATCTGTTTCCCTAGCGTTTTACCTTCCCTTTAACATAATAGGTGCTGACTTTATGTTTGATGAGTTAAGTGGTGTTTGCAAGTGGAACAGGGGAAGCAGATGCTCAGAGGGCATTGCAGGGCTTCACCCACTGCCTTGCTCAGAGTTGGCACTTGGCTGCTTTTGTTGAATGCATGTAGACACACACACACTTGGCAGTGATCTTTGCCCGTGGAATTGTCCTTGAGCAAAAATGGTGAAATGATCAGCAAAGTAGGAAAGTAGATCCCCGAAGTATATCAGTAGTGACTCAGTTCTCCAGTCAGATTTCTAGGATTTGTTCTTGTAATATCCACATAAAAGTGACACCATCTGGTGTTTGTCTTTCTCCTTCAATTTATTTTGTTCAGCATCATTCCCTCCCAACTCCAGCCATGTTGTTGCAAATAGCAAGAGTTTACCTTTTTTTTATAGCTGAGTAGTATTCTATTGTGTGCATATATGCTATGATAAAGCTATTATGATAAAATTTAATTTTGCACATATTTTGCAGATCTGCAAAAGACGACTTTACATCTATTATTGGGAAATGCCAAGGTAAGAATTTCCAAAATATTCTAAAAATGATGATTTCCAATCTGTGGTCGTTTACAGTGTTTCCTGAAAGTCGGGATAGATATTGAATACTTATTAACATGAATTATTATATTGTTTATTATTGTAATTAAAAAAAATCTTAACTGATTTCTCATATGGCCTAAATGGTTTGCTTTAAGATGTCCTTTTTGGAGAGATTTGAAATTGGGTCTGATGTTTTCAAAACGCTCTAAACCAGCTGGGGATAAAAGGAGGTGTCTATAGTCTTTGACTTTGAAATCAAGGCAGAAAGAAATATATGTGTAAGTCAAGAGTGGGTTACATACAGATCAGTATAAGCAAATGTCTAGAATTTGATCATTTTTTGATATAGTCAGTACACATTTGCAAGGGTGTTTATAATGTTTATGAACTGTTTTACTGGTGCGAAGGGTATGATTGTAAGCCAAGAGGTCTCGCCCTATACCTCTCTAGTGTCTACAGATGCTCAAATATGTAATTATAAACTTTGACTAATCTATTGAAAGCAAGACACAGAGATGGTGATTTTTTTTTTTAAAGATGGGTGTGAGATGAGACTGAGGAGAAATAGTGGCTTTTGGAAAGCAAATTTAAGAATGAGTAGAAGTCGGCATAAGGCTGAGGAGCATTTATTCTGCAGAAGGAGTGCTGGAAAGGCAGTGGGAACCTTATAGGAGAAACTAAATCTGAGGGCGCCTTTAGGTAAATGCATCTTTTACAATATTTAGTTTATAGACAGGCAGCCCTGTCTGCCCTCGTGTTAAGTTGGTTTACTAGTGGAGCAGCTGTAGAAGTCACAGCGAACCTAACCATATTCATTAGGATGATGACAGATATTTACAGTGTCCTTCCTGAGTACCACGCTGTATTAGTGCTTTACTGAAGTTTCTGGTTTCACTAGAAATACATGGTATACACACTTTACTTTACAGCTGCCTTATGTGAAGATAAATATTGACAGTGAAAGAGAGCAAGAAGGGAAGCATCTGTAGTCTTGAAATTGATCCTACAGAGGCTCTCGGACTCTTAGGGACTTGCTGGTTCTTAAGCGTCACTAGTGGCCTAGGGCCAGATTTTTGGGGCTCACTCTCAGCCCTGCAGCTGTGTTTAGAGATTAAAGACCAAATGTTTTGAGTTCCCATATGAATGGTGATATTCATTCTGGTCTGTTAGAAGCATTATTCTTATACAATTCCACTTTTACTAGCAGAAAAGGCAGTAATGGAGATCTGATGGCATTATCTTTTCCCATAGCATATATTATAATTTAAAAGCAAATTTAAAACTTTACACATATTTATATAAACTTTTCTCCCTTTATTATAACTTTGTTTTTTTTTTCTTTTTTTTTTTTTTTGCTCTGTCCCTAGATGGTCAGTGGTACTAATATCTGCACCAAGCTAGAAATCTAGATATTTTCTCTTCTGTTTCCTTCCCTTCCTACTTTCTTTCTTTGAAAAATATATGCTAAGTTGACACTGTGTGCTGGGCACTGTCCAAGACACCACGTACAGGGAGGAATGAGATACAGGCTACACAGATATGCAGGCTTATGGTCTATCAGGGAAGAGACAGTTCTTTGCAGCTGTGCTGAGTGACAAGCTGGAGAAGGGTCACCTTAAACTTGACCATGTCATGGGAATCTGTTTCAGTGGCTCTTGCCTCCTGCTTCTGTTCTTCAGCCCTCTCAACCCTCCTTCAGGCTTCTAACATTTTTTACTTGGTTTTTAGCAATAGTCTCTATATGCCCTTCACTTATTTCCACTTCATCCTGCTCACCAGGTTGATTGCTCTTAAATGAGAATTCTGTCAGGTTACCTACCCATCAAATCTGGCTCCATAGCTTTCTAGAATATACCCTTGAACAAGTTACGTTTCTTCTCTGAATCTTAATTATCTATAATATGGGCCTATTTTTAGATCGGGTTGTAAAAATAATTAGGTGATCTTGTGTATGTCAAGGTCTTAGTGTAATGTCTAATACATAATAACATGTTAAACCACTGTTACATTATTAATATTACTGCTACTATTAGTCCCATTATTTTGCCTAAAAGCTTTCTGCTGTTCATCATGACTAGAATGCAGTTCATATTTTCTACTCTAGAACACAGACTTTTCACAGGTTGCCCGTCTGTCCTGGAATATTCCCCTGCCATGTGTCCTATGATCTTATACAAAGCTTGTGTTTTCCAACCTGTCACCTGTTTCATGCCTGGGTACAGAAAGTTCTTTAGTCTTGATGTTTCCACCTTCTTAGTTCAAGCATCAAGCGTCAGCTCTTCTGGAAAACCTTTCTTCCTTTCTCTCTTCCCCACTATTTGCACATTTATGTTTCCTAGTATGTATCTGTGCCTGGGTCACAGCACTTCACCTAATCCTCTATCCTGCTGATTTGCTTGTCTGAATGCCAGTTAGATTGTAAATTCTTTGAAGGCAGGACTGTGTTTTACTCATTTCTTTTTTAAATTCCTAGTGCCTGGTATGTTGTCTGGCACATAGCAGGCACACAGTTTTTGACCCTAGTAAGTGATGGCACTTTGGAGCTTTTGAAATGATTCTTATCAGTGAATATGAGCGAGGTGTTTGTTTCCTGTGAGTTCATTTTAGAAATTCATGAGTGTATATGTGTTTATCACACTTCATATTATATTTATCATATGTATATAATGGTCATGATAGTCATGCTTTTTTACTTGTAATATGCACAACTGTTATACCAAGAATGAACAATAAGGGTAGAGAAGAGGCCCTGATTATTTAATGTCCTTTTGAGAATAATAGAAGGGGAGTCGTGTTTGTGAATTTCTAAAATTTGAGGCTCTAGTCTCGAAGTTACCTATAGTTTTGTTTTTTTCCTCAAACAAATATTTAATAAAGTAGACTGGACCTGGCTTCAATATTCCTTAAGGATCAGGAAGTTCCCAGATGAGTAATTTTGGGGTTGTTCAATGCCCTTTCCCAGTGCTGCCCTTTTGTTGGGTGAGGTTGTGCTGGGCTTCTCCGGAGCGTGTGCAAGGGGTGAGTCTGACCTACTTGGTCTTTTTAAGCTTTGACACTAGACATCTGCTCTTAGCTGGCAAGTAAATTGAGAAATCTACAAGTTAACTTGAAAGTAGGAAGCTTAACCCTTTTGCATTTCACACAAATTATAATATTTGTTAGCGTTTTTAGTGTGGATAGTTAATATGGCAGCATGAATGAGATAATAACGCTTTGGGAACTAGTGTTTTATTTTGTTGGCTTCTGAATGTGTGAATTTATGACCTTAATGCTGCATTAATGGCTTCTTTCCATTTCATATAATGTGAGGTTATGATCATTTGCTTACTATCTGACTCATTTTTATGGGAAAACTCATGTGCCAAATGATATTTCATGTGAATGCCAGGAGAAAAAAGGAGCCAGATAGTTGTTAATGCGTTTTTGAGACTACATATTGCAGAGTCTGTTGACTGCAGTAGGAGCTATTTGGTTCCACTTTGCTATTTTTCAATTATTGTTTTATAAAGTATGTGCCATTCGAGAATGTTTTAGTGTGGATTGCGACTTGTTTTAGCTCTTATTGCCAGGTCATAAATAGTAATTCAGTCTTCTCTTTTCTGTTATGAATATTAACCTAAAAATAGCCCATGGAATTAGACTTTCTTAGAGCTGTACTATTTTAGTTGAGACTTTTCTCATGTTTCTGGTGTTGAGATACTATCAACCAGACCTGCCCCGTGGTAAGAGCAGCTGGCTAGCTGAAGAAGAGCTCGCACCCCATGGGCCCACGCTGGCTCTGTGGGCCCTATGCCAGGCTGCCTCCCACTTCCAGTAGCCTCTTCAGTTCACCTTTGTGTGACATGTGATCTTGACTTTCTTGACCCAAAAAAGTTGGGGAGCATCGGCTATTTGAAGTGCCAGATTTTGAAATGCAACATTTCCTTCCAGAACTGTGATTCAGCAGCCTCAGCTTATCAGAAAACTATTACCCTTTCTGTATTTTTTAAGAGAAAAACATTTTCTGTTTTGAAAAAATACACATTCTCAATAACAACATTAGTAACTGTGAATGAGCAACAAATAGAAAATACAAAGTACTTCATCCAGAGGTAAGCACCATTAACCTTTTATGATCTGTCCTTTCAGGTATTTTTCTGTAACACCTGTTACTGTAGATAAGTTCTACAGCAAAATAAAAATATTTTTAAATCTGCTTTCTTTGCTTAAGGGTAGCTTGTTAAGTGTTTAGGCTGGAGTTTTAAGAAGAACTTTCAAAATACCTTTTTTCCTGATAGCCTTTTAGGTGTTAGGATATGGGTCCCAACTGGTCAGATCACCCAGAAAGGGCCTATCCATTTCACCTTGGAGCCGCAGGTATCTTGGTGTTGTGCTTCTCACCAACAAGATAGAAGCAGCCACTACTGGGCCTTGTGCAAATAATCACATGTGACGTAATAAGGTAGCAGATTATTGTAGCTGTGTTTATGGGGACATTCACTTTTTTGTTTTTGTTGTTGTTGTTGGGTGATTTCTTTTTACTTTGTTATAAGTGTCGTGCTGGTGTCAAAGGATGAGTTGGCAGACATTTTTATGTTTTCTTCAAGAGTTTGTTCAGAATTGGGATTAATTTCTTTAAATATTTGCTAGAACTCACCAGTGAAACCTGGAGTTTCCTTTGAGTAGGTCTTTAATTCCTGCTTAAATAAAAAAAATAGATAGAAAACTTTTGAAGTTTAAAAAATTTTCAGTTTCCTCTTGCTGCAGTTTTCCATGGAATTTTCCTCTAACTTTTAGAATATATTGGTCTAGAGTCATGTACACTCTTCCTGTAGTGTCCCCTGGCCTTTCAGGTCTGCACTGCTGGCCTGCCTTTCTCGATGTTGGTACTTTGCGTTCTCTCTTTTGTCCTCATCAATCAGGTCAGCATTTTTTTAATTTATTCTTTAATAAAAGTTTAGGTTTTGATTTCTTTTTCTATTTGTTTTCCTTGCTTT